GGTATTTGAAAATTGTCCATGCATATTTTCCATATTTTTCGTGCATATTTACATGTATATTTTTTCTTTTTAGATCCTATAACTTATGAGCCCTAGTTATAACAAAATAAATATTAGTTACATATAAATAAATCCAATGGTAGGTAGCCTTAGATTAAGTTGTATATTGTTCTATGGTTGTAAATATCAATAAATTTTAGAAATATGATTATTTTGTTGGTGATGTCTTGGATTGGGCTAAGGGCTTCGAAGAGATTTTCAGACATTTCTAGTCTTTTTCTGGTTTCTATATGGGTTAGGACAGTTTTTGACTATTTATAGACATATTAAATTTTCACACTATCAAAAAACTTGAAAATTGAATGTAAAGTTCCTTGTAAGTTGTTAGTGGGAATTTAAAAAAAATTTAACGTACCTACCTAAATCCACAATAATTCCTAAAAATCACGAAAATGTGCAAATTATTTTGCAATTATTTGTTAAATTTAACACTCCCCCATTACTTAGGTTTATAGTTTAATAAGCCTTGGTTTTTAATCTCTGTGGCCTAGCCAAGAAGTAGATGTACTGTTCATTTTTAGTGATATAAATTACCAGTATAATGTAATATAATATTATGTAGGTATATAATATTATACATGTATTATGTTATATGTTATAATTTATTATACTTTCTGGTAAATAATAATTAATAGAATGACTTTTGTATTTGTAATAATAAGAATTATTTATAAGTTGTCTATTGACTACAGTGGCGTATATAGAAATAATTTTTGGGGTGGGCTATAGACCATAGTAGACAGAAACTTGCAAGTGATCTATTAATTAGAGACTATACTGTCTGCTATATATTTAACAGTTTCTATGAATATATTCGTATTTTTTATTTTGTGGGCTGCAGTCCACTGTGCCTACCCCCTATATACGCCACTATTTGTGTATAAAATTCCACACCACCTTAGCGATAAACGACAACATTGGAATAATGAAGTCCGTTTAAATGCATGAGGTATTATACATGGCGCGTTTTTTTTATTGTGGTGTCCCCGTTAAGGCCTAATCCACATGTACAAATAAAGTGTCAATTTTATCCACACTTTCACCACAAAGTAATTTACTGTTAATGATCAATTGTGGATACGTTTTTGTTTTTAACGTATCTATATAAGAATTGTTTAATAGGTACCTATGTGTTTTCACTATAAGTACCGTGACGGTTGACAATAATTAGAAAAATAATAATGTAATGATGGTAAAATTTGCAAAAGTCTGCTTGAGTTTTTTTTTATATGGCGAATTTGTGGATATAATTTTAAATCAATAGGAAATATTATAAGAGTTTAATTATTTAAATTATTAAACGCACGGCACTGGTGAATTATTATTCAAAATAATTTATTTCAATACAGGTACCTACTGTTAATTTTTTCTGCCAACACCCATAAAGTTATAAGTTACACGGGTTCATTATTAATGCTCCCATATGGATATTGGTGAAAAACTGAAAAATGTAACAGTAACAAAAAACCAAAGTTAGAATAGTGGCAATAAATATATAAACCATTCAAGTAATTTTAATTAAATTAAATTGACACTTTATTTGCACTTAAATACTATTGTATATTACTTACCAGACTTACCTGTAGAAATATTTATATTATTACTTATAAGTTATAACTATAGTGCTCGGAAGCTATAGGAGCTAAAAAAGGAAAAATATACATGAAATATGCAAAACAAAATTGAAAAATATGCATGAAAAAATGTTAAAAATAGTTGATAGCAATTTTAAACTCCAAAAAAGCCATTTTCTGTTGTTATTAAATTGTACTAAAAGAAATGTAAAATTTGAAAAATAAATTTATAATATTTAAAATATGGCGAAAAACTGTATGGCATTTCGACATTGTATTGAACTGAAAAAAATAGTTCAAAAAATATATTCGAAAAGATAGTAGGTACATCTGAATAATATAGGCGAGTGATATAGATTAAATGCGTATCGCACAGTTTTCGTTAAAACTTAAATGAATAGTCGATTGCGATGATAACAATAAATACCTACCTACATTAATAGGGAGTTAAATAGGTATTCAATATTATTATTAAAATACACGGCTTAAAAAAGAAAAAGATTAATTGATTTTTTTAATAACATATTAAAATGCGTATGAAGATCAAGAAATATGCAGTTTTTCCCCTAAAATTTACGAAATATGCGAAAGTTGCATTTTCAATAGGTAGGTACCTATTCAGTTTTTAAGCCAAACTGACCATTGTATGGATCGAATTTTTTTAGTTTGTTCTATAAATGTTCTATAAATCAAGAGCATAATATGGAATAATATACAACTCCTATACTGTATATACCTATACAGTCCTACAACTTCTGAGCCCTAATTATAACATTTAAAATACTATCCTCGTCATCGACTATTTTCATTTATATGTATTATTATGAAATATTTTTAAATCATTAGTGCATTGTTAAAATTAAGATTTCATTCCCTTAATGAGAACTACTAACAATGCGTTTTAAAAAATTAAAAAATTAAAATCCTCACTCATGCATTCCTAATCATAACCAGCGAGAAGGGAGAGAGATAAGGATTTCCGTGAGACCTTTCCTTTTTTTCGGTATCAACGACGTTGCTGAAATTTCTTGGAAATTACTTCGACAACTTTCGTACTGGCTGCAGTGTTGAATGTTGATTGTTTTGAGCAGAGGAAAAACAGTTAAATTAATTTATAACTTTACTTTAAGTTTAAATACTCAATATTAAATATAAAATTAAAAAAAAATCAAAACAATAAAACTCACTATTTGGATACGTATTTCAAACTAATTGCAACTATTATGGTATAAATAAACAAATACATTCTATTCGATTAAACATTTACGTATACAAAACAATATAGTCTCCTTTTTAGCCAGCACGGTATTACACTTAGGTATATTTATTTACTATAGGCAACATAATATTATTATAATATCAATAATATATGTATGTATGTACAGGCGCGTACTGGCCCACCGGGATCCCGGGAAAATCCCGGTAGGCCCTCCTAAAAATTATAAGACCTGGGTCCCCCACAAAATAGGTACCTGTAGTTTCTGTTAAATTCAGTAATTGTATTATTTTTAACAATAAATGATAATTTTTTTTTAATTATTTTAATTGAATAATTGAAAAGAGAAAATTACATAAAGGACAAATAAGAAATTTTGTTGGTTAGTTTTAGTTACTAGTAATGTAACTTTTTACTTTTGGTGTACTACTGTACAAGGTTGAAGGTTTAATCATATTATACAATTCGTATATTTGTTGAAAAACGAATAATTTTTTTTTAGAATTCTAGTGAATACTATAGACAAGAAAAAGCGGTATGTGGATACACGGTTAGGTTAGGCTCCGAATGTTTCTGTTTATAATAAAGTTATTTATAAATTGCATGGATTATTCGTTATCGTTGATAATATTATTAACCTAGTATTATACATATTTTATTTCATTAATTTGAATTTCGTCGACGGGTATAGTTGTTTTCTATAATTTTAACAGTTTGTACTGATTGCCATACAGCCCAAACAGGTAAGTTTCTGATTTTTTTTTAATTTCTAGAATAATAAATGTCTTTAGTAGGTAATACAAACTATTAAAATAATAATTTGAATAAATTGAAAATAGTTTATAATTTAAAAATGATTTTAGATTTGGTGTGTTCAACCTCATTAGTGTTATATACTTATACAGTTATACATAAATATAATAAAATAATAATAATATTAAGACAAGAGTTTTAAATTAGTACACAGGAAAGTCAATGTAAAAGTTACCTAGGTACTATTGAAACAATGAGATATGAGTGGAAAAAGTATATTTATTTATTTAAAAGTAATTTATTTTAAATTTTTCAATAATTATTATTACGTACCTACTCCTATTTTTGTGTTTCATAGGTAGGTGTGTTTAAATTAGTAGGTAACATAATATTATTATGAATTTTGTTTATGTTTATTAAATAATAATTTTAATAAAAACCATTACTATTAGTTTATTATTATCTATTTATTTAGTATTGATCATAATAATATAAATAGACGCTCGGCTAGATTGTATGCACACTATTTGGCGTGTATGGGGTTGTTACTTGTTATTTATTAAGCCAGAATTGAGTGCTGATATTAACCTCGGATCAAGTAATTGACTTATTGTATGAAAAAAGTACAGAAATGTTAACAATGTTGAAAGTTTAGTTTTTAAACATTTTAATCAACTATTTAGGTTCATGTTAATTGTATAGTTTTTTCTTAGTGTAAGAAATGGGTGTTGACCAGTTTCCCCCCACAGCTGTTATCAGGATTTTAAAAATATACCAGTTGCCCTCAACCAAATGTACCAGTTGCCCTCAACTGAATGTACCGATTGCCCTTACATGTTTAACGGTGGCGTAAATAGAAATAATTTTTGGGGGTGGGCTTTAGTAGACAGAAACTAGCAAGTGATCTACTTAGAAGCTATTGTCTACTATATATTTAACAGTTTCTATAAATATATTCGTATTTGTTATTTTTCAACAGGCTATAAAATATTATAACTTATAATAGTACCTAATAAAATATATTGTTGTTCTATTTAAAAATACTGTAATTTTCGGAGGGGGGGCTGCAGCCCACTGTGCCCACCCCTTATATACGCCACTGATTGACTAATATTATGTGCTAGGATTAATTGGGACTTAATAATTCTAAACGAAAATAAGTTTCCAATTAAACAACATTTAATAATAAAATGTAAGTCATCAAGTTATTTACATCAGGTAATTAGTTCCAACTGAAAATAATTTACAATTTTTTTTAAGGCTGTATAAAATTATGTAATAATTATGTTCTACGATACATTTTTTTTCAATAATAAAAAGTAAATTTAAAAATATATATTTTGTTTTATTATCTAAAGTTGGTAACATCAAAAATAATTTATTTATTTTAATTAGTCTTATGCGTTTCCATTACTTTTTTGTTCCAACCAAACATTAAGTAGCTCTTCACTATCATCATATCCATGACTAGCTATAACATACTTATAACTACTCATAGAATAATCTTTCTTATAAAAATATATGTGTTCACAATGAAGAGGTTTTATATTTAATTTCTTTGCTAACAATCCTAAATATATGTCATCAAATCGAAACCGCTTTGTATAAGAACTTCCATAATAAAATTTGACTAAAGCTGCTTTGGATAACATATAAGCGCCAGCAGTAACGTATGGTGGCCACATATGATATGGATATTCCGAAAGGGACACATACCTGTAACAAATAAAAACATTAATTTAGATTGTTTGATATTGGTACCGAAATAAAAAACTACTAGTAAAAAATAAAATTATCATACCATTTACTTATTTGATGTCTCAGTGGTGAAGAATTAAAAACGTATCCAGTAAATAATACTATATCTGATGGCAAGATATGCTTAGATTGCTTTCCTTTAACTTCTTTACTTAAATATTCTGGATATTCGGTTGGATTTCGCAAATAGCGTAACACATTTTTCATAGAAACATACATGTCATCGTCTGAGAAAAAATAGAATCTTGAACTATTACAATGTGTTGACGCCCATTTAATTGCATTCATAGTTTTGATGGTGTTATTGTAGTACTTGTCAACAAAATCATACTGTACAATGTCTCCATACTGTTCGTGTTCTTCTTTAATTCGTTTTTCTAAATCTGTATCAAACGATTTTCCCAATATAAAAACTGTTCTAGTTGGTACATCAGAAAATCGATTCTCAAATCCCCAAGTTTTTCGAATAGTCCTTCGTCTATCAAAATGATTTAAAGCTGATTTCACCAATACTAGTAAATGAATGTTTCTATTACATTTAGTATTATTTGATAACAGTAGATCATATTCTAATGGATTAATATTAATACAAGGTAGTTGATCAGTTTCACCAGACTGTGCGTTAACTATGCACTTGGAAATGTTAGTTTCCAGTGGGTACACAAATTGAGAATAATAGTCCAACTCAAAAAAATGAGTGAAAACACCAAAATAATACAGCAATCCTAATATAATTATAAAAAAATACTTGAAATATTTTTTCAATTCGAACAAATTGTAAATGGAGTTGCCCATAATATTTTGTATTGGCATAATGAAAGTTAAAACTATAAAAACATATTTAAAAAACTACTGAAACTCATATCATTATTATAGTCATGATGAAAACTTTAAAATCGCGGGGCATTGAGTATGCCCAATTTCTGACAAATATGGTATGGGAATTAGGAAATAGGAATATAACTACATAATTCATAATATTACAAATTATATTATTATCATAGAACATAATATTATGTGATAACGCCAGCTGATAACGTCCCGAAACGAGTCTCACGATTAAACGGCCACAAGCTGCACTGCGTACGTTAGGGTAGCTAAGTATTGAGATTATAATATTCATGTTTTTTATGTTTTTTAGAAAATATATGCATTATTTTGAGTCTCTGACCCTTCTTAGATTTAATAGCTTCCATAGTAAAAGGAATAAGAAGTATGCTCAACACGAACCGTGTTTTCGTCCTAGTTCGCGCATGTGCATCGCCTTGTGTTTTGTGCTTTGTGCATACTGCAGTTGTGCATTCGTGTTTGTTCGTGTTGGTTCGGATTCATGCAATCGGTTCGTGAGCAACGATTATGGCGCCTTTATTTAAAACATATTACTGTACAGGCCGACTACAGGGAATAATTATTGTATTAATTCCTTACCACTTAATGTTTACATATCCCTAAATTAACAATTGAAATTTGTATTTATCAAATTATTCAAACACTATCAATTAACCTCCAAAACTCTTTATTTTATTATTATATATAGAAGTTTTATAATTTTATTGGGTATGTATGTAATAAATAATAATATATATTATATAATATTATATTATAATAATTAATAATTAGCAAAATTAGATTGACTGTGTAAATATAATTAGATAATAATTTGTATTTATTCATAATATAATATATTTTTATTAGTTAATAATCCTAACTGTGACTTATTATGTTTCTTTTTGTCACCAGTTCATACACACTTGAATGTTGAAGATACACGTATATACTGTATTACTATTTACTGTGTACTAATTTATGGAACTCAAAATGGCACCAAGTATATACAAGCTGGATAACCTTACAAAAAAGTTAACAAAGGCTAGAGAAGAATATCTCATTGTAGACAACATATTTGGAGCAAATAAAGCAATTATATGATACAAATAAAATAATTAGTTTCTTAAAAAAAATTCAAATATAGGTGTACTTACAACTTTAATATATTATAACTTATAAGCCAAATGTAAATATCAAAACTATCCGAATAACTTTTAAGATAACCTAACCTTGTATTTGATGCTGAAATAATTAAAAAATATATATATTACCTACATATTAACATTTTAAGTTATATAAGAAATATTTTTTGATTAGAATTCTTAACATTTTTTAATATATGTAAATTTTAATTACTTTAAGTTTTTATTTTACTTCATGGATAATTTGATCTAATTACATTTAACCATCAAAATTATAGCTATTTTGGATTTTTATTCTGTTTAAAACGCTTATTAATTGTTATAAAATAAAATGAATTGACTTGTGCTATCATTAAACAAACACATGTAAATACAAAATATTTGTATACATTATAAATTGAATATTAATATCTAATATATATTAATAGCTTTTGTTATATTTGATAATTATATAACACAGAGAGATATTTATGTCTATTATCATCATAAGTCCATGTTAATTGTTGTTCCAATAAATGTACTAAATCGTTATATTTGTACAATTTGTTGTCCTTTGTTAATTTATAAGCCTATAATAATATTGATCATTATTTTTTCACAAATAATATACCTATTGTCTACATTTTTCAAATAATGCCTACCTGTGCCGTACATACTTGTAATTTTAAGTCCAACGGTAAGTTTTAAAATTGAATTCATTCAAACTGTTTGTAAGAATTAATACTCAGTAGTCAGTTGTAGTGTATTGTTTAATACATTTATAACTTTATAAGTACTCAAAATTTCAAAGTATTAAATACATATATAATATATATAATTTTTTCATAATTCACTATAATATTTTATTAAAGCTTGACAATAGAATATTTTATAAATATATAATATATATTTGAAGGATTTAGTAACACAAAATTAATGTAACACACCACAATTATGGTTACAAAGAAAGTAGTTATAAGTATTTTTTTTTTATACCAGCACGTATATGCTGTAGGCATTTTGATACAAATAGTATAGAAAAGCCAATGATGGAAAAAATCCTTAATATTTCTCCAAAAAGAAAAAGAAAATTGAAGGTTGATGCAGTACCTACCAAATATTTATCAGTAATTAAAAATAATATTTAGTATGTTCATTTATATGAAAAAAACATTATTTTATCTAGACTCCACATACAAAGTCCCCCGTAAAAAAAGGAATTCTACCAACAACAGAGAGTCCTAAATTAATCATAATTCACTATAATATTTTATAATATTTTAAAGCTTGACAATAGAATATTTTATAAATATATAATATATATTTGAAGGATTTAGTAACACAAATAATATATAATTAAAAAAATGTATGAATTGTCTTTTTATCACTAATATTACAATTTAAAAAAAACAGACACTTGATCTGGTGTAGAGTAGGTGTATAGTGCATAGCCAGTCTGGTCGTTTTCCCAGATTATTTAAAACAGAATAGGGAATTTCAATTGTTGACCTGTTGAAAGTACAAAGTACAAACTATATTCACTTTCCTGTAAGAAATGGTGCTGAAGTCGAATATTTAAAACCAATACCTTCAACCCTCCATTCTGATATTTTTTTATTTATTTATTGACATTCTTATTCATAAAATAACTAATTTTATTTTTATTATTTAAAAATATGAAACATTAAAATAAAACAGCACCAACTGTTAAGCGTTATTATTCCTTCCCCAAATCAGAAGAATTTCAGCAAAAATGGATCCTAGCATGCGGCAGACCAAGCTATATGAAACCACTGAATGTGGAAACTGGTAAGTTGTTGATTATTATTGATGACATAGGTACTAGGTCAAAAATATATGATAACTTTTTCATTTGTAACCCAGTGGTTAAAGTGTGGTAGGAACAGCGGTGGATGAAGTATTATAGTTGAAATTCTTCCTCCTTTTTTAGTTTTAATTCCAGAAATCTAAGTATAAAAATAAAGTATAAATAATATGTGCATTAAAGTATCACACTTTAACCACAGGTAGCACCTAGATAATATAATATATTATTAACTGTCTAATTTGAAATTATGGTTACAAAGAAAGTAGTTATAAGTATTTTTTTTTTTATACCAGCACGTATATGCTGTAGGCATTTTGATACAAATAGTATAGAAAAGCCAATGATGGAAAAAATCCTTAATATTTCTCCAAAGAGAAAGAGAAAATTGAAGGTTGATGCAGTACCTACCAAATATTTACCAGTAATTAAAAATAATATTTAGTATGTTCATTTATATAAAAAAAACATTATTTTATCTAGACTCCACATACAAAGTCCCCCGTAAAAAAAGGAATTCTACCAACAATAGAGAGTCCTAAATTAATTACACCAAGAACAAAAAGTCCTAAAGTATTAACACCAAAAACAGAAAGTCCTAAATTAATTACACCAAGAACAAAAAGTCCTAAAGTGGGTATTTGGGCAATTGAGCCAATTGAACCAATTGAAAAAAATTGTAAAAAAAAATTATTTAATGACAATGTAAGATCAATTCATACTTCATATAACATAAGAAATAACTTTTATAAATAAGTAACCTAATTTAAACAATTTAGATTGCTTCGCCATTGCTATGTATGGAAACTGACATTGTCTCTAACCAGTTAGATTTGAATAAAAATAAAGAAATGGAAAGGTGATTATATATTTTATAATTTAAAAATAAAAATTAATTATTAACATCCATTAGGTTAATTGAATCTCTCCGGGTAGAGAATGCTAAATTGAAAGCTACGGTGTTGGATTACGAAGAGGGTTTTCCAAAAAAAGTTTCAAATTTGTTGTCCAACATATTTAGCGAACACCAAATCGAGATGCTATTAAACCCACAGAAAAAAGTAGCCAAATGGTCCTGTGATGATATTGCTTCAGCTATGACTTTGCGCAGCATATCACCTAAAGCATATCGTTATATGCACGATAAGCTCAAGTATCCAATTCCAGGTAATAATACTAGTTTAAAGTTTTATATAAACAATAATGACCGATTTTAATTTAATTTAAAAGGACTGAGTACTCTGAGGCGATGGGCTTCTAATTTCAGTTTGGAACCTGGAATTTTAACAAATGTTTTAAAGTTAATGAAAACAAAAGGTAATATATTAATCTATATATATTTTATGCAATACATAAATATAATTAAAAATATAAATGTCTTACATTTTTTTCATTCATAAATATTAGGCATGGACATGGATACCAAAGATAAGTTAACGGTCTTATCCTTTGATGAAATGTATTTGTCCCATCAAATTGATTTTGATAAAAGTAAGGAACAAGTCATTGGACCCCATAAAACTGTCCAGGTAGTTATGGCCAGAGGATTGGTATCCAGTTGGAAGCAGCCAGTTTTCTATAAATATGACACTCCGATGACTCCAGAAATATTGAATGATATAATCTGCAATTTACATGATATTGGTTTCAACGTTATAAGTATTGTTAATGATATGGGGCCAACAAACCAAAGACTATGGAAGAATATGAATGTGTCATATAAAACACCAAATTTTAATCATCCGATAACTGGAAATCGTGTACATGTTTTTGCTGACGTCCCCCATCTTCTGAAACTATGTCGAAATAATTTCATTGATAATGGATTTATAATAAATCATACTACCAATAAGATATTCATTGGGATGAATACTGTAAATCAATTAGTTGGGATCAGTAAACAAGATTTGAAATTGCCATATAAATTATCCAATACTCACCTAAATTGCACGGGTCCAATGCGTCAAAAAGTAAAGCTTGCAGCACAACTTTTTTCAAAATCTGTTGCTACTGCAATTTCATTTGCAGGTAAAAGAGGGGCCATAACGACATCAAACTGGCAACATGTAAGTTAAACATACAGTTTCAGTTGGATACGTGCATTAATATTTTTTAATTGTAATTTATGTTTTTTTTTTTACTGTTTAGGTATCTGAAACATTTAATACCATTGACAAATGGTTTGATTTATGAAACAGTCTAGAACCAAAAACAACAAAATGTTTGGCATATGGTTTAGATAAAGAAAAACAAGACCAAATTTTGAATGAAATGGATGAACTAATGTTTGATATGCGTGTCCATAGTTCAAAACATGATAGAAAATGTTTGATGCCATTTCAAAAAGGCATACTTTTGACTAATAAATCACTAAGGAATTTATTTTCGGATGTCAATGAAATGTTTGATGTAAAATATATTACAACACGGGTGCTGAACCAGGACGTCCTGGAAAATTGTTTCAGCTACCTTAGAGGAATGGGTGCAGCCAATACTCATCCAACACCACTAGATTTCCGTTACAGGTAACTATAAAATAAAAAGTAATGTACTAAAATTAACAATATTAATTATTAATATAATACAATGAATAAAATATTACTTTTCATACACTTAAGGTTAAGATGGTATATTCTGGGAAAGTATAGTTCAGTGGTTTTCTCAACAAACAGAAACACTGATGAAAGCTTGACGGAAGAATGCTTGTTGGATTCACCTGAGGTATTGGTTGGTAGCATAATGGAAAATGCTGAACTTGAAAAGGGTTCTGATCAATATGTAGTAGCAACTAATAATGAAATTAAATTATTAAATGAATTTGAACTTGAGGTAAAAAAAAAAAATAATAATAACAATAGATAATTACCTACTTACATATTTTTAGCTAGGTTATTCATAGATATTTTTTATTTACTTAGATGACTGCTCAAAATGAATATATACCAGAAGATATGTTTGAGGAAGACAGCTTAACATATCTTTTAGGGTATACAGCTCAAAAGTTCAAATCAAAATACCAGGATTTAGTAGGTAATAGTGCTACAAATGAATGGATACAAGCTAAATCATTTGGAACACTAACGCAGCCATCCAGTATCCTCATAAGTGTTGGTAAAATCATAGAAAAACTATTTAAGCAATTGAATGGAAAAGGTATTTAAGTTAACATATGTAGTTATAGTAAATAAATAAATAATACTTACAAGTGATTATTGACTTTCTTTTAGACGACATAAAGAAAACACCTGGACTTATTACTGAATTATTGGAATTAACCAAACAACAAGTGCATGACATGATGATTGAAGATGAAGTCTTGAGGTCAATGATACGGACTCGAATTTATTTAAGAATAAGAGAACTAAATAAAAAAGAAAAGGATCAATTAATTGATAAACAAAAACACAAAAAAATTCAAAAATTTATAAAATAAACATAATTATTAATTTAAAAAAATAATAGTATAACATGACTCACATTACCCAATTATCCTAACTATGATTATTATTTATTCCTAAACTAACCTAATACAAACTACAGTAAATAATTATACTAAAGTAGGTATTTGACAGTCTATAGAAATATTAGAAATTAGAAAACTGTAGTTTAATACTTGATGTTTATGCAATAGACATTTAAACTTGAATAACTCGGCCTAACATAACAGAGCTGCTCCTTACTATGCACAGAATAATATACGAAATATATGAATGTGACGTCACCTTGTGTTTATTGTTGGTTGCCTATATTACCCCTTAACGAAATATGCGCAGTCTTATCATTGAGCATACTTCTTATTCCTTATACTATGATAGCTTCTTCGATTACGCATTTATACATTCATATAGAGGTGTGCGTATATTTCATAAACACTCAACATTGTTAAGAAACAAATTTGAGTGTAACGATAACAGACTCTGTAGTCTGTACTTCTATGAATATTATACACATTCTGAGATCAAAACCATTTACTAAGTTTATATAATTGTATATATGACTAAAATCTTAATTTGTGATTAACACCATAATCTATTATAAAACCAAAATCTTATAAGATATAAATAAAATTTAAAAGTTGAAACTCTCATTAAGAACTAAATGCACTCACCAAGAGCATGCCATCATACAATATAAGTATATAACATTATGTACTCATACAGTCATACTACAGTATTATGTCTATTTCACCACAGAGCAATGTCTCAGACAATATGTCTACCTCTTCAATGATCGACTGTTGTGCATGTTGCAAATACATGAATCATATTAATTAGGCGTAGTAAAAAAACAAGGTCCAGAAGTCAGAAGATATTATTAAAACGTGGAAACAAATCCTATACTCCACAAAACCATATATGAATATATAACATAATCTAGTTTTTAATTAAAAATTAAAATATAGATTATAATTCAAGAATAAAAGTAAATTATGAAATTCTAATATAAGAGGTATGTACTGTACTACTGTGTATCAACATTTAGTTCAAATTCCATTAAGGTGCATCAAATGCTAGTATTAAACTAGTCCCAAGATATAGCATGAAATATTTATCAGTCGTACATCTTATTAGGCAACGATAATTTCTACTGTACTATGAAGTAAGATATTCTTATTAATATGACTCATTGAAAAAGAATATCTTTTATTTGTAGGTATTATTACTATTCATTAAATGTTTACATGTCGGATCAGTGATACATATATCTCGCCATGTTATTTAAACACAATATGTACAACAAAATTCTATACTTCCAAATAAGACAATAATTTCTGTAAAATAATTTATCAATAACATTAAAATATATTCAATGAAAATATTCTTCACTAACAACATGATTATTCGTCAATCAACACTTTCAATCTGGTTCATAAAAACTTATGATTTCAAATAAAAAAAAATATACAGACTAATAGTTCACGCTCAGTGGAATAAACACAAAGTAATGCTCTGGAATATATGCATATTATAGTATAATGGTCAATTTGTGGATGTAAAAAAAAACGAGTATTATTTTTAAAATACAAATTTACTCAATATAAATTAATTGTTTCAATTTTATATAAATTATTGACAGGTCCATCTCGTTTCTTACTGTTAATATTTTTACTTTTCATAACACACATTGTATTGTTTGTATTATATACTGATTCCACATAGTCACATTTGCTATTAATATCTTTTTGAACTTTAATAATAAGTTCAAGTACTTTAGGATCATTTGACAATAATATTTGTTGAAATGAGCAGTCTATCATCAGTGTCATCCAATCAACTAATCTTTCTTCAATTAATTTTTCCTTCATAAGTGAATACAAAGTATTCAAAATTATCAGCATATTCTCAAACGGTAATTGGCGCCGTAAACAAGATGGTTTATTTAAAGGTGGATATGCAAATAATTTTAACAAAAGACTTGAATGTTTTGTTATGTTTAAACTACAATATGACAATATTTCAACTAAGGAAGTATCGCTAATATCATTGTTTTCAACCAGTAACCGAATCAATGATTTGTCTTTCTTATTATTAATATGGTCAGTGATTATCATTTCATTTAATCTGGAATAAATAAATAATGTCAAATATTGTAAAAATAAATAAATAATAATAATAATTTTTACTTTGATTGTGATAAGGCTGAAGTTGAAATTGTATCTACACATTTTTGTTTTGCATAAGAATCCCATTCAGTTTCTTCATATTTATCATTTATTTTAATTAAATTATTATCCATTAACAAGGACAAATTATTCCTTTCACATGTAAAAGGAATCACTGCTAAGTTTTGACCTGTAACTAAGAGTAAATGATTTCCAAAACACCATAAATTGGGAGGGTTGGTATAGACTTTAAAATGTTGTACAGCAACTACCATGTTGTAATGGAAATTGTATATTACTAAAGCAGCTCCTGAAAATAAAAAATTATTATAAATCTATAAAAAAAATATATTTTTGAACTTTAATATATTTTATTTTAATATTGTACTTCAATATTTTATGAAAAACTATAATTTTAATTAACCAATACAAATTTGAATTTGGTTTTTTAAATAAGATGAAAGAAAATGTTAAATCCGTATAAACTGTAATAATATTTTTTTACTAACCGTCGCCTTTTGGTTCTGCTCCATAAAGACCAATACAATCTGAACTTAGTTGAATTAAAGTTACTTGTTTTTTTGAATTAACTAAAGTTATTTCTGTCAACTGTTTACCAGGAAAATCATTGCTGCTAGTTTCAGCGTATAGCTCGTTAGAATACAAGTAACCATTAGACCCTATACAAATGAAAAATAATGTTTTATAATTGATATACACAAATAAAACACAGTGATATTCTGAAGTAAAAATGTGTAATAATAAATGAATATACATAAATTTCTTAATAAAAAAATAACAGATAGGCAATACTTACAAAACGTTAAAACATTAAGTGAATCGGAATTTTCTCTAACACAATAACCAAGTAATTTGTCAGTTTTGTTTTTGAAAGATATTTGTAAATTAATTGGCAAAAATGTATCTTCTAATGGCACAGATCGTAATGTTTTTATATTCTGAAATCACAATATTCAAATAGTTATAGTATACATAATATGTAAGCAACTAATTGTACAAAATTAGCTAAAAAATTATATTTACCTTGCTATCAACAGACACAATAATACATATAGCTTTTGTCCTGAATATACATAATTTAGCTAACTCAATTGTTTCACCATCATTAATGACAGCATCTCTGATTTTTTTCCTGTTACCGATTGCTTCTTTTAAACACTCGCAATGACCATTTTCAAAAACAGCAACTGCTCCCTTGTAATCTAATCTGGTTAAAAGTTTAATAATTTTTGCAGTGAACTGTAAAACAAATAAAGAATGATTATTTATTAAATTTAATTATCTTACATAAATGTTATTAAAATTACCAATATGATTATATGAATGAAATCAAATTTAAGTATATAACTATTGGTAAGGATAAAAATTACTTTGTTATATTTTAACTGAGATTAATTTTACTTCACTAGTATAAATTAATCATAAGAGAGAAATATAGTATCTTTCTAATAGGTTAGGTCAGGGATTTCCAACATGTTAATTGAGATCAACTAGTCGATTTTTAGCAGAATTTTGGTTGATTGTATTAAAAAAAAATTATACCAATATCGGTTGATCACATGTGTAATCTTAAACACACTTTTACACTTTATAAACAAAGTAGGTACCTTCTTTATTAGCAAAAAAAAAAACAAACAATTATCTGAAAGAGAAATAATAAAAGAATATAACTAGCCAACTAGGTATACAATTTATTATCATGCTGCATGTAATATAAATAATATACCTAAATAAATAGTTGTTGATCACTATATACTTAAAATGTTAAATGTAGCTCACTTGAAAGAAAAAGTTGGCAAACCCTTAGTCGGGTACTACCTATGTCAATGTATGATGAAAATTCAGTGGCATTAATAATTGTTATATAAAAATGCACAACCAAAATGATCTTTTACCAACTTTTAGCAATTTATTATTCCGTTAGTAATTCAGAAGATTGAATACAATTTTTTCCTAAATATTACGTTAATATTGAATTAACTTAAAAGATAAGACTTATATAACATACACATGCCGTAAAACTGTTTGAAAAGTTACAACTATGGTGTACTAGAGATGTTTTGATAATAATTTTAAATTTAATGGAAAAAAATTCCAAGTCCCTATGATTAATATTTTTTTAATAACAACATAAAACTAAAATTGTTGGAAGAAAAAAGGTTTTGTTTTGTTAAAATATCATGTCACCTATGTCAAAATTGAAACTTCAAATGTCAATATAAAAAAATTAAACAAATATATTTTTGATTCTTTTAAACTATTATAACTTGTAAGTATAACTCTTATGAGGAACATAATATTACATTTTCAAACTTTTTGTCTTGGAACATTTTTTTTGTCAATATAAATTGGAAAGAGTCAACAATTGAAAAGGTCTAATAAAAAGAGTAACAATATTTTTTAAATGATTCTTGAATAACACTTAAGAAACAAAAACTAGTGTTGAGCAAATACTCCTGTTTCTTCATGGTATTGTTTTTAGGTTTTTTTCTGATTATAGCTATTGAAAAATACTGAAGATTGTTTTACTTTCAACCCAAACTATCCATATATAATTTTAAGTAAATAAATTGATAGTTCAACCGATCTTTTATCAATCTAACAAATACTTAATAAATATATAACTTTGTAGTAATATAAAGTTAATAATTATTCATCTATTTTGATGAATTAATTTTTAGGTGGGTATGTAAAACATCTAAAACATTGGTATACCTACAATTCTTTATTTTTTATTTTTAATTTCAATATTATTTGAATATATTGACTATAACATAGTGATAAGATACTAGAAAACTGAATTTATATTGTTGTGGTTTTTTTTTATTCTATTAGAAAAACAGATGAAATGACACATTTACAAAATACACTATGAAAAAACTCACATTAAATTTCTTCATATCTTTCATCATTAAAGAGCTCCGTAACCATTTGCCAATTCGGGTATAGTTAAAAACACCATAATAACAATTAGTTGATGGATCAAATATCACTCCGGAAGACAATTTATCGGAACTGCTCCAACAATGCACCTGATTTTGACTTGGCATCTAAACGTTAAACATAGGTAACCGTGATGAAGCCGTGTGTAATATAAGGTGACAACTGACATGTATACATACGTGAAAACAAGTAACCATGTTCTTCGATAAGGTGACAATAACATTATCCGGTTCGGCATCATTTGAAATCCCCAAGAAATTTGATTCAATAATGGATCCTAAACTGTACGATGTATCTAATTTTATCATGATGTATTTAATTTAAAAATCATTTGCTGGAATAAAAGTGTGGTAATTTACACGTCAAATTTGAAACTATAATAAACAATCAATAGGTACCATATTACAATTTACAACAAAAAGTAAAGACTGGACAGAGTTGAGGGTACCGACAATAGAGCACGAACTCCACTACTCCAGTCCTACAGAACAAGCAACAATTTACAAGTACAGACTGAAGTACAACAGAAAAGCACGTGTAATCCGTTATCATTATACGGTGGCATTAGATGATAAACATTAAACAGCATGACCAGTAGATAAATATGTAATTTCCTTATTGAAGATCTGAAAGTACTGGTTTTTCAAAAACCACGGTATAGAAAATTTCGCGATTGAAAGGAAATATAGGTAGCGCACTAGTCGATACTAATGATAAGGCTAACGGGGAACATGGTCGCCCGGTGGCCGAGGCCCGTGCTGTTTAGTCTACTTACTACTTTCTAGTTTCTACTTAGTTTACTTTGTCTACTTTCTAGTTTCTACTGCAAGCAGTAGTTGACGCTCACGCTAAGTTTATTGTAATAGAAGTTGGAGATTATGGTCGGTCTAGTGATAATGGGATTTTCAAAGAATCCTTATTTGGTAGACAATTAATTCAAAATAAATTAGATTTGCCAGCGCCCAGCACCCAAAAAAAATTGATCAAAATATTAATGAAGATTTCCCTTTTGTATTTGTTGACGATGAGGCTTACCTACTTTTACCTACTTTGATGAGACATTTCCCTCGTAGAAATTTAACAAACGAAAAACGTTTATGGTATATACAACTATCGACAATCCCGTGTGAGAAAAATAGTCGCATGTGCATTTGGAATTATGGTAAAAAGGTTTAACGTATTAGAAAATAAAATGCTAAACAGAACTGAAAAAACTGCAAAAATAACTCAGGCGATTTGTGTACTCCATAATTTAATTGTGACTAGAGTAGCTAACTTCCTTTGTACAACTCTTAATAAAATAGTTTTAAAAATAAAAAAATATACAGTGTATAGAAAATGAAAATATAAACATTCAGTTAAATTTTTATGTATATACAGTTTTTGGTTTTTTTTTTTTTTTTATTACAACAAAATAAATGTAATTAATTGTATTAATTTCCTACCTGTGGAACTGTGGTTAACACTGTGGAATAGAACAAACCTTATGGGTATTATTAATTAGTATTTTTGGACTACTATTAAGGTGATAATTATGATCATACATCATACAACTAATAATATAATATTCATATAATATTACAATAAATTACAATAAATTATTTATTAATTCGTATTTCGTGTGTGGTACTGTAGACCAGTACATGTACTATACACATCTTCCCCGTTGTAATAGTTCTGATGACTTCCACAAGGTAGCGCCTGTTCCGCTTTCAATCGCGATGAAAAAAGGTAGCATTTAGTACCACGATTTAAGATAGACAGTGTACCTACCCGTTTTTCAGTTTTCAAATATTCCCGTTTTCTTTAAACAAATTAGTAGTTACTAATTAGTAATTAGTTTAGGATAATTTATAATATTATACATTTATACCCTTAGATCATATACAATGGATGGAGCTATGTGTGTATTTATCGTATATTGAGCTGTGTGCCTGTGTCCAACATAACCCCCCCACTACCCATTTAATTTCAAGGTACAACGAGTTATTGCGCATGCGTTGCGCCTATACTGCTTTACATTCCATCCCCACCACCCATTTGATTTCAAGGTACAACGAGTTATTACGCATGCGTTTCGCCAACAATCACTATAAAATAACTAATAAGTGGGGGGTTATGTTGGACACAGCAAATGATTAAAGTAGCTCCATCCATTGTATATGATCTAAGATTATACCCAAGGTAGATCAATCCACCTTGATTATACCAATCATTGCTAATTGGTTATCGGTCATCACCACAAATATATACTATAATAATTAATAGTATATTTCTGTCATCATCACACAGACATCTATACTAACAGTATACAGATATCTGAGGGTCATCACTTTGTCATTTGGCCATATATTATATATAATATAAGAATATACTAAATGCATATTATAATATATTATTATAAATAAATTATAATATAATATATACTCTAAGATATGCATATAAAATAAAATATTAAACATTTTTTTCTAAAACAATAAATAAATAAGATATTACATTTTGGAATTTTGCACTTTTGCAGTTTTGATCTTAGTCCTATAAACTAAGTTTAAATATAAACTCACTTCAGCTTATAGGTCTATGAGGTCTATAGTGTTTCGATAAACACTCATTGTGTCACTGTGTCAGTCAAAAAGTCAATATTTTAATAATTATTATTATGGAGGTTAAACACCCAACCCAACCCCTGCAGGCTACGCCACTGTGTATGTATAATATAGGCATGTTTGTGAGTAGGTAATGTACATGATTTAATAAAAATTATATGACATGACTTCTGTTTTAAACTAAATTATGAAAATATATATTCAGATATTCTATACATGACAATATTCATTATTTGTACCAACAATTATAATATGCCTAACTAATATAAATAAAAACAAATTTAAATTTATTTTAAATTTAAAAATATAAATACAATTTAAAATGCATGTATGCATAGATAATTTTGTTTTGCTTATATTTATATACCTACCATAATATGACAATCAGAAAATCCAAAACACACATAAATCTATTAAATAATATTATTCTTTGGTATTTGAAGTATTTTTCAACGTTACGGGAGTTATAATAAACCGTCTTGTTGTTGAAGGTGTATTATTATCCGTAGAGACAGTAGTTTGATAATTTTCCATTGGAGATTTAAAAACGGCATTAAGTGAACCTGGTGTAGTTTCACCATTGAATAGATCTATATAAAAAAAAACTTGATAATTTAAATGTTCTAAATATAATCCATAGTACTTATATTTTATTACACAACTTATCTGTGATAATTTTATAACAGATCTTTTTTTGATAGATTGAATTAATTTTTACAAAGGTACACTGCATTTAGATTTACCCTTTTAGAAAAAAATTACATTAACTACGCAATAAGTTTACCTGTATTGTTTATTTTATTCTTCAATAACTTGGATGTTCTAATATCTGTTGGAGTATTTGAAAATGATTTCAAGTCATGTTGTCTTCTATACCCCGGTGACCAAGTAATGAAAGATAGCTGTCAGATTCAAATAATGTTATTAACGTAATAATTATTTTTAATTTTATATGTAAGCTTACATCAAAAGGATTATACCCAGGAGGGATACTACAAGGCTGTCTAGCTTTTACAGTACTCGGAGACAACCCAAAAATTGGATATTCTTCTTTTAACCTTTAACCAGTCATTAAATGTAAAGGCAGAACTATAATGATATGTTAACATTTGTCCAAAATAATGAATACTATTACCTTAGTGTAAGATAATTAGCTTCTTCTTGAGGAAATTCTAAGTTTATTTCCTTCAACACATTTAAATATTCATTGATTAATGTTGTAGACTGCAGATTTTGTTTTGGAGCAACAGCTTTTATCTATAATAAATATAACATTACCTCAAAATTTAAACATACAAGTATCTTTATTTAATATCTATATGTACATTACTTTTAGTATGACAATGCCACATGCAAATATACATAAAATGTTAATGAATGTTACACACATGCTCATTGCTCCTTTAATAGCAAAATCAATAGATCTTATTGATGAATAATGTAAATTTAAGGTATTTGAAGAATCTTGATTAATACTCCTCACTGAAAATGCCCACAGCAGTCCCTTAAAAATGAATGTAACTATTATAGCATATTGACTATTGAATAAAATATAAATATACATTTATCTTTAAATTCTAATATTTTAAGTAATTATAGTTTATTAAAATATTGTTTTGACACATTGTATAGTATTTAATTACCAAAACATCAATGAAGCCGTATATATATATATATGTATATATATTTTTTTAAACGCTGTAAACAGCAAAAATGTAGAAAAGTTTTTATCATTTTAAACTGTATTTATAATCAATGATCTAATAATTAATTCAAAATATAGCCTTGACAATAATTGAATAATGGTACTTTAGACTTTAATCAAATAATGATATAAATTTTACAGTTTTACTTATTTAGAAAACTGTAAAATACTGCTTTTCATTTTTACAATTTTAAATACCTTAGGAAAACAAAAGTTCAGTACCTACAGGCTACAAGGCCACAACACACTATTGGTCTTTGCTATATATATTATATAATATTAGGGTGGGTCAGATGTCCCATTTTATACTGGAAAATTCTGTATTTTAAAAAGTCTGTCCCTGTGTCCCGAAAAAAGCTTTCAGGACGTTTTATTGTAACTTTTTTTTAAATATGTCCCATTTTAAATGGAAATCTATGAAAATTTTTTTTAGGCACTTATAAAAAATATGTGAAGAAAATCACAACCGCTGTATTAAAAGCCAAAGATGCATTTACTTCTACTAGCGGTTAAATATAGTTACCTATATTAATATCATTATGTATACAATATACTGCTAACTAAAAAGGTATTTTTTTCATTCAATACAGAATGATATTATGTTATTTTATTAAAAATAAATGTTTAACATATTATTTTAGTGAATATAAAACTAATAATTAATCACGTATTCTCGTATATAAATACCTATTTTATAAATAGCCAGTAGCGTGGACACCTTATATAATATGCAATTATACTCAATAAAACAAAATTATTAATTTGTCAGTAAGCTTTATTATGAACTGGTATAATTTTAAATGTGACTTAAGCCGAGGAGGCTTCATGCAAATTTTTAGCATTTGTGCCACTAGCACCCATATTATATACAATTTAAAAAGAAAAATGTATAATAATCAAACCTCAGATTTAAACTACAAAGTTATTAATATATAAAATAATATATATATAATAAATATTGTAAAATTACTGAAATACATACAGCATTAACGGAAGG